TACATCCCCCCATTAGTCCTGCTAACTCCTACACATCATTCAAGTCTCCATTTAAGTATTATTCCTCGGTAAAGTTGTCCCTGAACTCCCAGTCTGGGTTAGACTCTCAGGTGAAATCATCCTAAATTTGAGCTAAACTCATCTGTAATTTGTCAGGTAGGCCTTCCCAGTTAGATTAGAAATTCCTTAAGGGCATGGACTTTGTATTGCACACTGTTTCATTACCATTGCTCAACACAGGGTACAGCACAAATAAGTACTGAATGAATGCCTAAATGAATAAATGAACCAAAAGATAGTATGGAAAATTAGCTAGATATAGTGACTGACAACTACCAGCAATACATAGAAATCACACTTTCTGTAACTTTTGATGGATGTGAAAGATCCTTTCTGTTGCACTATACTGCCTAGCTAATGTTGGAAATATAATTATAAAATAGTAATCCGCTGAATTCTTTTGTTTTTAAACAGGGTCTCTCACTCTGTTGCCCATGCTGTAGTGCTGTAGCATGATCTCAGCTCACTACAATCTCTGCTTACTAGGCTCAAGTGATCCTCTCACCTCAGCCTCCCAAGTATCTTGAACGACAGGCATGTGCCAACATGCTGGCCAATTCTTTTGTTTTTAGTAGAGATGGGGTTTCATCACACTGCCCAGGCTGGTTTCCAACTCCTAAGCTCAACTGATCTACCCGCCTGACTCTCCCAAAGTGCTGGGATTACAGGCATGTACCACCGTACCTGGCCAATTGGCCAAATTCTTATCCAGCAAATGGAAACACACTGTTAAAACTGATTAACACAATCAGCTTAATGCCAAAATAATAACAATGCAGGCAAAAACCCAAAACATACAATTAAAAAGCATAATAAATTATTCTTTCCTCAAAAGTTCATTATAGTATTAGGTTTTGTTAACCGTCACTTATTTTAAATTCAACTGCTTTGAGATATGCAATAGCTAGGTTAGCCTGCTTTATGTACTTGTTGCAATTTTAAAGATCATTTATGTTGGCTTAAGAACTTGCCATATGTCAATGGCAGTAACAAACAGCTAATTGCCTCTTTGCAGAACCTGTGGCTGAATGTATTCCTGCCCAGAAAAATACATTAGAAGGTCCACCCTGGAGGCGTGAGAAGTATCACCTTAGCAAAAAGAAAAATATATTTGATCCTTAATCAGTATCAAAATACACTAATACAGTTTACTGAATGTTTGCTATTATTTCTTGTTTGCATTCTTTTTCAAAACATATCCTTATTATCCAAAAGTCATTCTAGATTATTTAAAATAAACTTGGAAATTATAGTTATAATTTCTTCACTTACTACGTTTTATTTTGGAATTTCTGGTCATTAAAAAAGGGTGAAAATAAATATACTGGCCTCCTTTTTGTACACTAAAATCTTTTCCTATGAGTAGGTACTACCAATACGCTGTTGCAGGATGTTTACACACCAATGGCTGTGCCCCATCAATAGTGATGGAGAAACAGATCTTAGGGCTTAGAAGACAAAGACAAAGATTTCTTGAAAGTCTTTTCATAACTTCAAAACAACAAATACAATAAAAGTAATCACCCCCTAAATACTAGTTTTACTACAATAAAGTGGATGAGGAAATCTTTAAGCCTCTTTTTAAAAGAAAAGTCAATACAGACTATTTTATTACCATTCGGTTTTGCAATTATTTTTGCACCAACCTAATAAAATATGTCTTGTTACTAGATATGAGAGTGCATATTTCAATTTAAGGTAAGTTTCGGGTAAGGATAGAAACTGTTTCTTTTCTAAATAATACAATGAATCAAATTAATGTTGATTTTTGTGTGAGGACAAAATGCATCAACAACTGAAACTTTTAATTTAACAATAATACAGTTAAAAGAACATGAGATCTGAAGTTCTATGATCTGAACTTGAGTCTCAGATTCTAGTATTCTAGTGCTTACTAGTACATTCTAGTATTTACTAGTCTGTTTTCTTAGGCTACTTATCTAACCTTTACAAAGCTTGATTTATTCATGTTATGTGGGGGTGATGACTAATACATCTCTCATGAATATATTCAGACATACATCAGATATATATCTCTCTCAGATATATACTCAGAAACAAATATTTTCTAAACTGAGAACTAATTACAAGATACTACTGCTCCTACTATTACTACTAACAACAATAATAATACACAGGATTATAAACACCATCAAATTATTTTAATACTGTCATTCATTACTCTCCTCTAATCAAAACAAATGAAGGCTAGGGAAGCTTTGTAGGGTCTTAATTTTTTCTCTTACAGGTGAAAAAACTGAGCCAAATAGGCATGGCAGGAAATTTTGTGCCAGAAAACCTGTCTCTTAGGAGTACAAAAGGTTTAGGGGGAGTGGTAGAGGAAAGCCTGTCTCTGAGGTTCTCCCTCCCTATTGCTGATATGAAACATCAAAAACTCTTTTAGTCCTAGTAACGCTCATGTTTCTCTTAAAGAAAAATGTACTCAAAGCTGGTCACTCAAATGTCCTATAATTTATTCCCTCAGTCTTGTATAGCCTTCCAAAGAGACATAGATAAATATCATATTTGATGAACACTGGGTATGAAATTTAAGAAACATTTAAATTGAAAAAGAACCCTTTCTTGAAAGCTCTATAAGCTCAGGACTCTCTGCACCGGATATGTCTCCATGATCCCCTGGAACACAGTTTGAAAACCACTAGTTTCAGAGAGCCTTGCAGAGTTGTTAGGTATTTCAGACTAAGGCCAAAATTAAGATCTATTAAAGAAAAGAACCAATATAGAGGTACTAGTGGGACCTGCAGATGAGGGGAAGTAATACATCACCAATACATCACCAATGTCATACTTTTCCTAGTAATTTTCACAAATCTCTGCTTCAAAATAAAGGCTTTTATCACCTGTATAATGAAATGTACAGCTCTGTTTTCCACGGCTAACAGCTATGTACACCTGTCATCACTTTTTAAAAGTGTCAAAAGAATATTATAAAGTGCTGGATTTTCTTTTAAATTATCAAAATGATTTCAGGCCTCAGTGAAATATATTTGGTTGACACCTAGAAGTGATTTCCTAGGTAACTAAATACTACTACTTTTCTCAAACAAAAACATCACCTGATAAACTTCCTAGACAGATATCCATAGCTGCAGGCAGACACACACA